AATACGATCTTAATTTTAAAATCTTTTTTTTTTCTTTTGCAGATTCTGTGTCATAAATACTTCATTGGTGTGTTGGCATATATGACAGAACTGGCAATTTTTCAAATTGAGTGAATTCTAGTATGGACTACAAATGATTCATTATAAACCCTCTCAATTATTTCCTGAGTTGCTATTCCAAGTGGGACAGTGGAAGAAATGTAGCACCTGGCTTTTGATGGCGTCTTCGGAGTTGCCTAAGTGGATCTAGAACACCGCAGTGGTGGTGGGTGAGCCATGTTCAAGTGCTGTGTACCCGTCATATCACTGTGGTCATGTTATATATAATGCAGTAGAAGATGCTGAATTGTTAATATAAAAATATCCAACTTAATCAAATAAACATATCTAACATCTGGTGTTTCTGATTTAGGTTATTCTGTTGGCGAGGCTTGCCTCTGTGGTTCCTGTTTAAGTTCCTCAATTTTTCATTTCCAGATTTCCCTCAGTTATTATTGATTCTGTTTCCATTTTTAAATCTTGAACTGTCTTTATTAATTTCCTCCCAGTATTTGTGTTTTCATAGATTTCTTTAAGGGATTTATTCATTTGCTCTTTAAGGACCTCTATCATACTCATAAAGGCTATTTTAAGATCTTTGTCTTGTAGTTCACCTATGTTGCAATTCTCAGGGCCCTACTGTGGTAGAGCTGCTAGCTGTGCTGGAGACATATTGTTCTGGCTATTACTGATTATGTTTTTAATGATGATACCTAGACATCTGGTTTGGGAAGATTATAATTTGAGACACTGATATCTGGTCCTGTCTTTGTTGGGTAGATGTTTTGTTCCTTAGTTTCTGTTGCCCTGTAGTTCTTAGGAGAAAGTGGTGTCTGTGTGTTGCATGGTAGGAAAATCTAGTGGGATCTTGATAGGTATGGCCACTGGGAGTCCCAGATAATGAATACATAACATACCCAAACTTATGGGACACAATGAAGGTGGTTCTAAGAAGTAAGTTCAAAGCACTGAGTGCCTACATAAAAAATTGGAGAGATGGCATACTAGCAACTTAACATACCTGAAAGCTCTAGAACAAAAATAAGAAATCTCACCTAAGAGTAGACAGGAAGAAATAAACTTAGGGATGAAATCAACAAAATAGAAATAAAACAATATACAGAATCAATGAAACCAAATAGTTGGTTCTTAGAGAAAATAAGATTGGCAACCCCCTATTCAAATTACTAGAAGGCAGAGAGAGAAAAAATCCAAATTAACAAAGTTAGAAATGAAAAGGGGGACCTAGCAGCACCAAGGAAATCCAGAGTTATAAGAACATCCTTTGAAAACCTTCCCTCCACCAAATTGGAAAATCTAAAAGAAATAATTTTTTTGATATATATACCACTTACCAAAGTTAAGATCAGGTAAACAATTTAAACAGACCTATAACAATGAAATAAAAGCAGTCATTGTGGGAGAAAGAGAGGGGAGGTGTGGGGAGGGGACTCGGAGTACAGGAGGGGAAGCTTCCATTGGGATTTATTTTATGAGAGGAAAAAAAAAAAAAAAAATCCCAACCAAAAAATGCCCAAGGTCAGATGGTTTTAGTATAGAATTCTACAGTTAGTTACCCTGATACCCAAACCACATAAACAGCCAACAAAGAGTATTACACACTGTGGTTGTTTGAATAGGAATGACCTCCATAGGTCATAGATCTAAATTCTTGGTCACTAAGCAGTGGCATTATTAGGTGTGGCCTTGTTGGAGTAGGTATAGCCTTGTAGGGCTTTGAGGTTTCAGAAGCTCAAACCAGTTCCAGTGTCTCTTTTCCTATTGCGTGTGGATCTGTGGATCTCCATAGAACTCTTAACTACTGCTCCAGCACGATGTCAGCCTGCATGCTGCCATGTTTCCTTTCTTGATGACAATAAACTAAACCTTGGAACTGTAAGTCAGCCCTAAATAAATGTTTTTCTTTATAAGAGTTGTCATGGTCATGGTCTTTTCATAGCAATAGAATGTCGACTAAGATACAGACTATTAAGGGATATTGAACATAAATACATAAATTCTCAATAAAATATTTGCAAAACCAAATCCAAGAACATATCAAAAAGATCACCACCATAATCAAGTAGGCTTCATCCCAGAGATGCAGGGATGGTTCAATATATGTAAATCAATAAATGTAATTCACTATATAAATAGATTGAAGAAAAAAACCCCACATGATTATCTCATTAGATGCAGAAAAGGCCTTTGACAAAATCCAACACTGAACAAAGATAAAAGTACTCGAGAAGTTGGACAGTGGTGGCATATGCCTTTAATCCCAGCACTCAGGAGGCAGAGGCAAGCAGATGTCTGTGAGTTCAAGACAAGCCTGATCTACAGAGAAAATTCCAGGACAGGCTCCAAAGCTAAATCCCTGTCTTGAAAAACAAACAAAAAACTTTCTAAAATATAGACATATATAATGACTATCCAATTGAAATTGTGAAATAATGGGGTAGACAGAGATTCAATTGTTCATCTCTTGTCACCAGGTGAAGCTTCCAGTCTCAGGATTGGGTTATGTCTGATTGAGTTGTTGAACAAAGGGGGTCCCATGAGAATCCCCCCAATCCCAGACTATTGCCAAAATTGTAGGGTACTCTTCACAAAACGGCAGCCAGGCACCATTGCTGAAGACTCCTTCACAACAGTTTGAACATGAATAAATTGATCTAGTGCCTACATAGAAACTTCACTCCTCCATCCTAGTGTCTTTGGTTCAGGACAATACTCTGCCTGCTTCCACAAGAGGAACATAAATACCAACCCTTGGATCAACAATAGTGTCCTGCCTGCAAGGTGTGCTAGTTTGATGATGGCTGAGAGTATGTAGGAGTGACCAATAATATCTGATGTAACTTAAGGCCCATTCAGTGAGATAGAGCCCATATCCAACACTGTTTGGTTGACCAAGAACCTAAGACTAGGTAGCTCAGGTGTTGTGTAACTTTAAAAAAGCAGCTCGAGCAAAAGACACCATGCAACAGAGTTCAAGCAGAAGGAATTTTTATTGAGGAAAGGGAGTGTGTGCGTGCAGGAACATCAGCATCGGGAAAGAGGAAAGATGCGGGGGGGGGGGGGAGGGTGAGAACAGACAGGGAGAGGAAGAGAGAGAGAGAGAGAGAAGGATGGGAGGTGGGCAGGGCCCTTTTAAAAGGGAACATAGTAAATAGGCACAGCTGGTGCTCTTAGTGGCAGCAGCTGAGGGCATATTCTGTCAGAACTCCAAAGGCAGGCCAGTACAAATGCATAAATATTAACATCAGGAACCCAGGTTAAAACCAAATATTACTATTCTGGGCCTCAAACTCAGAGATCCACCTGCCTGTGCTTCTGAATTGCTAGGACAAGTTTGTGTGATGAGTGGCCAACCTAAGTTCTATAGTGAGGCTCTTATCTTAAAACCCCCAAAATATATGTTGAACAAACACTGCTTCTAGGACTGTGGATTAGCTCAGTTGGTAGAGTACTTGCGCAGCATGCACAAAACTCTGGGTTCAAGCCCCAGCACCATGTAAACCAGGAATGGTGATGGCTACTCCTATAGCCCTAGCACTTGGGAGGTGAAGGCAGTATCTCAAATTCACAGGAGGCCCTATAGGTAAATAAATAAATAAAATTTAAAAAGCTCAGTGATTAAAAGCACTGGCTGCTCTACCACAGTTTCTGAGTTCAATTCCCAGCAATACATGGTGGCTCTCAACCATCTATAATGGGATCTGATAGCCTCTTCTGGCATGCAGGCATACATGCAGACAGAACACTCATACATAAAACAATTATGTTTTTAAAAAGCTTCAAAAGAGAAACAAACTCTTAAGTTTCTAAAGTGAAGTGAGATTGAGACTTAACAATTTCCTCTGGCTTCAGCCTTTTCAGTGCTGGGAATGCAGGTGTGGCTTGAGGACCCAGGTTCAAATCTCTACTACCTTACTCAAAGCTGAGTGTGGCCCATAAATTTTGGGCCTGGACTACATAGCAAGACCAATCTCAATAAATAACCTCCCCCTCAAAACCCCAAACAAACTCGTGTCTGTTGGCAGTAGGGAATACTTAGCCGTAGTTTGGTGTTGCCATCTTCGATGGTGTTAAGGCACCAGCAATTTTGTCTACCTTTGTTTTTGTACCACAGGGAAAAGCCAAAAATGCAGTCTTACTAAGAAAATTACTTTGGTTCATAGATGCTTTGAAAGACTCCTGGGGCTTGAAGCTGGTACTTTGAGAACCATTTATCTAGTAGCTTAATCAAACTCATTGAAGGTAGGGACTATTCTTGCTTAATGAACCCCAAACTCATCTTATTCACTTTGGGCATGTGCCCTCTTTTCCTATGAATTCAGACTCAGAGAAACAACCTTTTGTTTTAAAATCGGCCTTTGAGAGATATTTCTGACTCAAACCGTACCAGTCTTACAGTATTTATTGTAGGTTATGTTTCTATAACTCTAGTGGACGTGTGGCATAAACACAGGGGCAGAATGTGGCTTTGGGAAGATACATAACACCAGTTCCATCATTAAACACACAGGCAGGCTTCCTCTGTAGTCACACTTAGGTAAGTGCATTGAATGGGTTTGGACTAGAGGGTCAGTCCTTTCAGTACAGAGTTGTAGAACTCTCATATGCCAGAAAAATATGTTTACAGATTGGGTAATATAAAATATATCAGGAGAAGTCACTTTCAGGATGAAACATTTCTAACTTTATATAAAAGAAATGTAAGATACAAAAAAATTGTAAAAATCCAAACAAACAGTAAAGTTAGGACTAATTAGGACTGGAGAGATGGCTTAGCAGGTAAAGACATTTGCTGCCAAGCCCGATGAACTGAGTTTGATTCCTGGAACCCAGCTGATGGAGGGAAAAGACCAACTCCTGCAAATCGTCCTCTGGTACTGAGGCATACTACACACACACACACACACACTCTAAAAAAGTTAAAAACAAAAAATTAAAAGTTTATGGTAAATACTACCTTTATTTTAAAAAGTTATACATGCTAGAAAAAAGCATTAATGATACATGTAAACAATTGTTTACCAAATACTTATTTTTTTCCTTGAAAAAGGTGCAAATGATGTTTAAATGTAAACAAAAAAGTTGCCAGACATTTTGTTGTAGGGGAGAGGAAGAAGGTCAAGGTTATTCCTTTTGGTTGTGGCTAAAGTTTCAGTCAAAGGTTTTCCTGAAAAATACACTAAAAGAAAAATCAGTAGATGACTATAATGGGGAGAGGACCTTAGGCACTACAATTTTCATTTATTTCCTTAAAAATTTTAAGTGCAACTTAAAAGACATAGTAATAGTGGCCTATGGGATGAGAGCTAGTGAAATATAATTAGCATAAAGACCAGCTCTGATTGGATGCTTTAGCTGGCTTGACATTCCTTCACATGTACTGCTAACGTGAACTGAAGACATCATTCCTTTGGAGCGTGTTACTGAAGGTCAGCTCAGATTCACCAGGCTGGAACATCCAGTGTAAACTGAAAATCAGAATCCACTGCTGGAGAGAGGTCATTTCTCCTTGGTGGCCCCTGGTGGTAATGAGGAGATAGGAAAGAAAGTTGCAGGTGGTAACATGTGTAAGCAGAAACTCTTAAAGAGTTGCACTTGATTTTCCTGGAGTTCTCAAGACAATGAATGAGATTCACACTATTTTTTATAAGAGGCACTGAGCAGAGACCTAAGTGCACGTGGCAGAAATGCTATGAAAAATATTACAGGGAAAAAAAGGAAACAGAGTAGAAAGCAATTTAGTCAGATAGTTGTAAACGTCCATGGTGAATGAAAGCTGTAGCTTGTCCTGCTTTTATGGATTTAATATTCCTTCTCAATTGTCCTATTTAGTGAGATGTTTTCTTGTTTTTTTCTTTTACATTTAAAAGAAATTTTACTTTGAATTACTTGTGGTGTGTGTGTGTGTGTGTGTGTGTGTGTGTGTGTGTGTATGAATGCACAGGAACACAGGTACCTGCAGAGGCCAGAACAGACAGAGTCCTGGAGCCCCTAGCTCAGAGGTTCTCAACCTGTGGGTCATGACCCCTGGGGGGGGTGGTCTAAGACTTTTCAACAGGGTTTGCATATCAGATATCCTGCATATAAGATATTTACATTATAATTCATAACAGTAGCAAATATTACAGTTATGAAGTAGCAAATGAAAATAATTTTATGAGGAACTATATGAAAGGGTTGCAGCATTAGGGAGGCTGAGAGCCACTGAACTAGCTGGAGTTACACACAGTTGTGAGCTGCCAGATGTGGTGCTGGGAACTGAACTTGGGTCCTTTGCAAAAGCAGCATATGCTCTTATTGGATCATTTCCTGTCCCCTTTACAATTTGGAGTATTTTAATATTTAGTGCAAGAATGGTAACTAGCAAATATAGTTTGCATATCTATCATTATCACTGGCAAGCTTTGTAGATGGATAGTGTCTAATAGAAGTAACAACCAGGTCATACATAGCCCTTCTGTCCTTATCAGTATTTTCAAAATCAAACCAAAACCTAGAAAACAAACATTTTGCAGCTTGAAATTTTTTTCTTTCTTTTTTCTCAGGGTAGAAAGGATAAGTAAAAATAAAAAATAAAAAACAAACAAACAAAAAAATCCCAAATGATCCAAGTCAACAAAACAAAAACATAACTACCCATCAAAACTCCATGATAAATTAAAGCCAAAAATATATACTCTTCTGCAGAGAGCGGAAAGGTATTGTGCAAAGGTGGCATCTGCAGGTGAGTTCCGTCAATAGACTTGTAGTCCTGTAGGCTGAGGCACCGGCAAAGAATAAAATTTGTTCTAATGTTTTCTCAAGCTGTACAAAGCTTCCAAGTCCAGGCTCTTCCAAATATAAGAAGCGTATGCAAGGCCTTTTCTGTGTTCACCATATGTGGGATTCACAATGTGTCATTTTAATAACTCCGACACCACCTCCTAGCCGACGGTAATTCATTCCTCCATATAACCTGCAAAGAGAAAAACAAAAGCATATTTCTGACTGGAAAAAGCACTGCTCCTTCTAAATGAAGACTTCACTTACAGCATTTTCAGCTTTATGTAACTTCCCGAAGATCAGAAGCAAATTGAACAGTTAGTAGAGGAACTAATTCAGACCATGGCTGAAACGCTCTCCAGGGAATGAGGCTGTCCTCTCACCTTTGCACCTAAGCTCCACACACAGTGTAAGGATTCAGGCATTAGGCTGGCCTGCCCCTGTCACCTGGCAGAACGCCCTCAGGCAGTACTCTTGTCAGCCCAGGGTTCCATGAGTACTAGTCTGAAGGCAGACATAAAGGACCCCTTTAAAAGACAGACCTAACAATCTCTTTTGCTCTTTGCTTTCCTTGCTGTTTCCAGTTCTCTGTCTCTGTCTCTCTCCTCCCCCCCCCCCTTCTCCTCTTCTGTTCCTGGTGTCTCTATGTCTCTTTTCCTTTCCCCTCACTTCCCTTTCTAAATAAACTTATTCAAGCTCTATCTCTCCTGCTATGGAACCTGCTATGCTCTCCCATGTGGTCCCTTACCTTGGGACCACCATGCATGACCCCCCCCCAGCTTTATTCCTATAACTGTAACAAAAGAACAACATACAGACTGGCTTCTAATACACATTACCTCATGTTCTACGTTTTTGTTCTAATTTTATGCACGGCTATTTATTTTCCAAGACATTTTCTCTTTGCCTAAAGTTTTCTCAATTATTAATTAATACATTATTTTATGAGACAGGTTCTTGCTAGGATATTCCTAGGTCTATAGCTGTGGAGGTGCTGGTATTATGGATATATACCACTGTACCAATTATTTTTATTTATTTATTTTTTTTATTTTTGAGCTGTCCTTACTCCAGCCTAGTTGCTTCAAACCCATGGAAAGCCTCCTGCCTCAGCTTCCAAAGGGTTGGGATTATAGGTGTAAGCCACCAAGCCAAGCTGCTCAATTTCTTCCTTCCTTTCTCCCTGCCTCCTTCCATTTCTTTTTGTATACCTGTATATAGGTGCACGTATGTCTGGAGACCAGAGGTCACCATAGATGTCGTTTTTCAGACATCTATCTTGTTTGTTTTTTGAGACCAGATCTCTCCATGGCCTGGAACTCATCAAGTAGGCTTGGCTGACCTGTTAGGAAGCCCAGGGATCCACCTTGTCTCTGCCCCCCACGACTCATCTGGCTTTTTATGTGGATCTGTACATCAAATCAGGTCCTCATGCTTGCACAGTACATACTTTACCACTCTTCTTTCTTTTCAGCCCATCATTTCTTTGTTTTTAATTCATTGTCTATATAGTATCATATAAGCATTTAGTTTGTGATTTGTGAACAAGATCATCTTCAAAGTTGAAGACTTTCATGGTTTAAAACAAAACAAAACAAAACAAAACCCTAGCTCCTCATTCAGCAATGAGATAAAATTGATTTAGGATATGCACCAGGTATGGTAACACATACCTGTAATCACTGAATACGGGAGGGTGAGGCAAGACGATTACCAGAGCTTAAGGCTAATCTTGGCCTACATAGTTCTAGGCCAGCCTGGGCTACAGAAGGATGTTTTCTTACAAAGCAAAACAATCAAGCATGGTGATCCATGCCTATAATCCCAGCACTCAGGAGGCTGGGATAGGAGGGTTGTTGTGAGTTTGAGGGCATCCTGGGCTGCAGAGTAAGTTCCAGGTTAGTTTGGGCTATACAGTGAGACCCTGCTTCTAAAAGCCTAAAAGAAAAACAAAATAAAAAAAGTTTGGGCTGGCATGGTAACACACACCTTTAAGCCCAGTACTCAGGAGGCAGAGATGATAGGTAGTCTATATAGTAAGTTCCAGGACAGCCAGGGCTACAGAGAGAGACACTGATGGTGGAATGGGATGGGGGGTTAATGGGACACATGGAGGGAGGGGAGGGTGAGGGAACTGGGATGGGTATGTAAAGTAAGATTGCTTTTGAAAGAGAAAAAAAAGCCAAAAAACAAAAAATGAAGCAAAACAAAAAACCCAAACCAACAAAAAGTTTGAGATACTTTTTAAAACTCCAGATACTTAGATACTGACTTCTCTGTAGATTATTTTTAAAAATTTCATGAATATTATTTACCATACATTACTAACTCTAGTGATAGTTACTGATGAAAGTCTATACATAATTTATAGCAACTATGAGACAGAAGTAAATGAAGCTATTTCTTAAATTATGCTTACTCTAAATTCCTATTAAAAAAAAACTATATGAAGAAGAAAACATTCCACAAATGGCAGGTTTGTCTTTGTGCAAACCTTATCATTTCAGTGAGGCTTCCCTGGCCACCCTTTACAGACAGACATTCCTCCCTGTCAGCCTAGGCCCTTTCTTTTCTTGCTAAGCACACAGCACTGCCACCCAGGACTGAAAGGACTTTGTCTTCTTCACATTTGTTTCTTCAGGGATCAGAATACTCAGTAAGTCTAATGGACACACTCATGGAAAATATAACGTTTGAGCAAAAAGTCCTGTTTTGTTATTAATCTGACCTTAGCATTGTGACTATTCAGCCATAGAGAATCCCAAGAAAGTGATTTCACTCTCTGTGAGAGGGAGGGAGAGCTTGCTTAACATCTGCCTTTGGACTTTGAGATAGGGAAAGTGCTAGAGGTTGAGCCCAGGCTCTCATCCAGCTAGGCATGTACTCTACCACTGTGCCCAAACCTGGCCTGAGGATTTAAAAGAGACATAAAATATGTAAAATGAAGTTTAACATAGTTAAACTCTCAGAAATTAAGATGTAGCTTCCTATCTAAAAGTAGTCATCAAAACAGACTGGATTTCACAACAGAAGACTTCATCAATAGTTTTAAAAGCTAAAGAAGGAATAGGTTTTCAAATATTTTTTGAAAGTAACTGCATTTCTACCCCCTAGACATAAGGATTCTCAAAAACAAGAATGTAAAGACAAACTGAGGACTGAAGGCCAGGTTCTGCTCTAATAATGTCACTGGCTTTTTAAAGCACAGCTTTCATTTTCTTGGCTGCTCTGGTTTCGCTGGCAGGAAGTGATGAGAATAGAAATGATATTATTGTTTTCCTCACCTCTACTTATGTAAAATGAGAGGGTAATTAGAAGACTATTGGGACTTCCTATCAGATACTTTAGAGCAACATCATATCTGGGTTACCTCAGCCTCCTTCAGGGAACCACAGGAGGACTTCAGTGAACTGACTATCCCAGTTTTGGAGGTCATGCTCTTTCTCAAGCTCATGATGACAAGTCGGTAATGAAAAGACTTGCAACAGTCTAAGGATTACCTCCATGTATTGGCATCTGGGTCAAAAACTTCAATGGTCTTCAAGTATGTTGTACCATCAAAGCCTCCTACTGCCATGAGCTGTCCATTGACCACTGCCAGACCAACCTGTAAGAGCAAAGCACAGTACCTTTTGAGACAACCACTGGAAATGTTAGACTGTCTCTAGACAGACTACTCAAATCTCTTATGGTTTCATTTTATAGTTTATATGAATTCGGAAAGAAAAAGTAGCAGTAATCTATGAAATTATGGGAATCGTTAAATTATGGATCTAATTACTAAGTATTAGGTACACGAGAATCAGAAGATGTATTTGCAAAATTTAGAAAACCATTCACTAGGTATGAACAAGAACCTCCAAACTGCTCCCACTTCTGGTTTCCTTATTCTAATCTACTTTCTAAATTGTTACTAAGATATCCTTAAAAATACAAATATAAACATGTCACTCCTGTTCAGAAACTTCTTAGCCTCCCTTCTGCTGGATGACAGATGTAAGATCTACAACGTTACTCAGGCCACCACATTTGGCTTCACCTCCTACACCTCCCTACCTCCTAATGTACTCTATGCTCTAGTAACACTGGATTAACTGTTAGTCTCTGAAATAGTACACATACCCTTCTATCATACACACCACTACAGCACACCTTTACTGTAGCTATTATAACATTTGTTTCCTTCCCTAGACTGAGAGCTCTACAAGGAGAATTTTATAGACATTTCTACCTTCTAAATGAATGAAAATATAATCAAAATGGGGCAATGAGAATGACAGGAGCATAACTAAAAATCTGTAAATTTCCAGTAATAAAAAGCCACAAATATATGAGTCTTTCACTTGCTGGTGCTTTTCTGCAAGGCCCCTTGACTTTTACAAACCAGAATTTGCTCCTTTTAATCTTCAGATAATGGAGTCCTTAGGGACTGTTCTCTTTCCTGTTGTGTATGTATCCTACATTGATGGACTCCTGCTATGATTAGTGGCTAATAGGTTAGGTTTCACTGAGACAAACATTCCCAGAAGGGAGGCTTTTATGTTCCACCCTTGACATCTTTTAGTGACAGGCCATTCATTCATGGTTGAGAACATGACAACATTCAGCCAGATCTGGCCTCCACTGCAGATGGGGCAGACTCAAACCAGTTATGGAAGACATATAGAGGGGCAGAGATGTTTTTACCTAAATAGTTGCATTAGTATGCAAAGTCTACTTGGAAAAAACAGATAGAAATATTACATAGGAATAGTTAGTGCTAATATACAGAAGTTAAATAGGGGAGTAGATGATATAGGGAAGATAACTTCCAGAGAAGTAACTGATAGAAGACAAATAATAATAAAAAAACCTACATAATTAAATACATAAATGGATAGAAAATATTTAGCTACTGGAGTTAGAAATAATCAAAATAAATACAATGGTTTGGGGTTTTTTGTCCTTTTCTTTCTTGTTTTGTCTAAAAGCATCTTGACAGCTGAGACAACTGAAAATAAAGCATACAGAGATCAGCACTTCACCTCTTCAGTGTCCTAGGGTAGCTCACAGTTCAGAGCATTCCTTCTGCACATCTCCCTCTCAGGGCTTGTTTTCAAAGCTCAGAGCTCTCAGTAGCTGGTACTTACTCCACTCCTGCGAGATGTCATGGCCACCACGGGAGACCACTGGTTAGTTCTGGGGTTGTATCTTTCAGCACTGCTAAGTTCCGTGGTATCATCTCTCCCTCCTACAGCATAGATCATGTCCTGGTACACTGCACAACCTAGGTGTTTCCTTCGGGTCCCCATAGGGGCTATAGTGTGCCATCTGTTTTCCTGAGGATTGTAGCGCTCCACTGCAGTGAACAGAAAAGACCAGTAAACGACTATTCATCAGATCTCTTCATAGCCACTAAAACTTGGATGACATTGATGACATTTATTTATTTTTAGTAAATCTGATTGGGAACCAGTTTCTTGCAGTCATCCTCTGAGGAAAGGATATGTTTTAAGTTCTAGTTTGGCTACATAATTAATTATATGTGATCATTATCTTCCAATGGGGTGGAACTAGATTATGATTTTAAGAAGAGTTTAGTACTAAAATTTTATTGTTATAATTGGACAGCTTCTGTACTCCTGTACTCCTTATTTAATTACTTATTTATTCATGTTTTGCTTTTTTTTGATGGGGTCTTACTCTGTGGTACATGTCTAGAACTCATGAACTCATTATATAGCTCAGGCTAGCCTCAAACTCATGATCCTCATGTTTCTACCTCCCAAGTGTTGGGGTTACAGGCATGCTCTCTCATGCTAGTGTCTTTTAACCCACTGAAGATACATAACAATGAATCTCATGGGTGTGCCACTGACATACCCTTAGATGAAAATACCCATTATGTCTAGACAGAAAAGGCAAAGAAGCTTGTAGTTCTAAGGTTTTACTCTTCCTTCCTTTCTTTCTTTCCTTTTTTTTTTTTTTTTTTTTTTTTTTGAGATAGGGTCTCTATGTATAGCTCTGGCTGTCCTGGAATTTGCTCTGCAGATCAGGCTGGCTTTGAACTCATGAAGATCTGCCTACCTCTGCTTCCACCTGGCGCCACCATCACCCGACAGTTTTATTTATTCTTATATTAAAAGAATGATTTTTTTTTTTTAAATTGAGGGCAGATTGTGATTATGGGAGGAGGGGAAGTCACTCTATTTAGAAAGAAGATTTGTTTTCTTTTGATTGTGTCATACATCTTATTTATCCATTTATTTATTTAATGTGTAAGTGTTTTGCCTTCATGTATGTATGCATACCATGTGCATGCCTGGTGTCCTCAACAGATCTCCTGGAACTGTTGTTACAGATGGTTGTGAGCCACCATGTGGGTACTGGGAACTGAACCTGGGTCCTCTGCAAGAACAAGTGCTATTAACCCCTGAGCTATCTCTGCAGCCCCAGACTTCTTTTTTTAAAATTCAATATAAGCTTATAAAGTATGCAGAAGAAGAAAATTTCAGGAAACATACTAGAAGTTATGTGTTGCATTTTCCTATAGAGAAAAAAGAAAAATTTTCTTAAAAAATACATAATACACTCATGAATATATGAGCAGAACAAATTAGACTCAGGAGTTATTAAAAAAAGAAAAAGAGGATAAATGAAGTTGAGGGGTGGGGAGGTGGGGTGAAATCTGGGAGGAGTAGGAAGGTGAACATAATAAAAATATACTGCATGCAATTCTCAAATAATTAATAAAGATGTTATATTGAAAATTATAAAATAACCTGAGCTCTTTATATTCTGTATAGAGAGTATCTTAGTTAGGGTTTCTATTGATGCAATGGAATACCATGACCAAAGAACAAGTTAGGGAGGAAAGGGTTTATTTAGCTTACACTTTCAGATCATAGTCCATTATTAGAGGAAATCAAGACAGGAACTCAAACAGCCCTGGAGGCAGGGCTGATGCAGAGGCCATGGAGGAGTGCTGCTTACTGGCTTGCTTCCTCTGGCTTGCTTAGTCTGCTTTCTTCCCAGGACCACCAGCCCAGGGATGGCCACAACCACAATAGACTGGGCCCTTTCCCACTGATCATTAATTGAGAAAATGCCTTACAGCTGGATCTCATGAAGATATTTCCTTATCTGAGGCTTCTTTCTCTCTGATGAATCTAGCTTGTGTCCAATTGACACACAATCCAGCTAGTATAGAGAGGGACTCTCCCCAGAGAAATATGCTGCTTTTGGGACTCAGACTGCCTTAGTTGGGGGACTAACCTGTGTTGAGTGGAGATGTTCCATCAGAGCCACCTACAGCATATAAGAACCCTCCCAACACAGCCACAGCAACTCCTAGTCTTCTAGTACTCATAGAAGCCACCCGAGTCCACTTGTTCTCCTTTGGATCATACCTGCAGGAAGGAAAAAACATATTTGTATTAGTCCAAATAGTTTTCACTGGTCTGAAATCAGAAGGGATATAATGGACACAGAGATTTACCATAGCTTAAAAAATATATGTGTACTCAAGCACACCCCCCTCACTATTCAGCTTTTGAAAAACCAGACTTTGTCATTTGTGACGACAGGAAGAACATGTGGGGATGTTTTGTTAAGTGAAATAAATCAACACATGAAGAAAAATACCATGTGATCTAAAATTAGTCTAATATAGAAGCAAAGAGTAGAATAGACTCCTCTTGCAATGAGGGGTTGGCAGGATCAGAGAGACGCTGGTCAAAGAATAAGTTCAAGACCTTTAAAGTACAACATGGTGAGTAGGTACTGTTGAAATTGAGTGTATATTTTAAGTTTTCACCCAACCCCCCAAAGTATGTAGGGTATTAATACATCAGTTAATTAGTTTGACTTAGCTATCCTACAGTTTAAATATTTCATGTTTACCATAAATGTATTTTTATCAATTAAAGAATACATGGTGGGGGGGCTATAAAATGGTAGGAGAGAACCACTCCCACAAAGTCATCTTCTCACCCCGCCCCCCTCCCCCCACACAAACACACACACACACACATGGGCTCTTTCCCTTTCTCATAGCAAGCTCTAGGCCATTTACGGCTACATAGAAATGCAAAAAGAACACTGTCCATTAAAAAAGTTGAAAATTATTTTGATTAAAAATAAATCACCTCTCAACAATATTGAGACAAGAGACACCATCCTGTCCACCCACAGCATAGAGAAAACCTCCAAGTACTGCCACACCAACGCTTGTCCTGCAGGTGCTTGTAGGGGCCACGTCACTGCTCCATTGGTTAGTTTTGGGGTCATATCTGCAAAGAACACATTGAGAGTTTGTATTACAGGTTGTGTTTGTGGTATTTTGTTATGGAATAACTATTTCTGTACACTGTGAAGATGTGTCTTTGCTAAAGAGCCTTCTGATTGGTTTACTAAAGAGGCAGAAAGAGGTTAGGTGTGACTTATGGGCAGAAAAGAGAGAGAGAGAGAGAGGAAGATATGACCATCAGAGGACACACAGAGAAAACAGGAGGTACAAGATGGAAGAAAGATAAAAAGCTACAAGGCAAAATATAGGTTAATATAAATGGGTTATTTTTGTTTGTTTGTTTGTTTGTCTTTCAATTCACTCTGCAGATCAGGCTGGCCTCGAACTCAGAGATCTGCCTGCCTCTGCCTCCCAAGTGCTGGGATTAGAGGTGTGTATTACCACTACTTGGCTTCTTTATAACTTCTTGATTTAAAAACACAATTTGCTTTTTCTTTCTTTTTTCTGTTTGACTGTGTCTCACTATGTAGCTCAGAATGGCCTCAAATTTGTGATCCTCTCCTGTTTGCCTCCCAAGCACTGGAATTATATATGCATGTCACCTGTTACTTTAAACTTTTCTTACTTTCAAATGCATGTAACATATAGTTCATATATTTGCCTCTGTGCACTACCTTGGTTACATTTTATACATTTATTTATATTATTTATATTATATTTATATTATATTTATATTATATTATTTATATTAATTGTTAACCTATATGTAGTCATTTGTACTTTGATTTATTTAGTCCACTAATTCATGTCTAAATGTCACTCTTCCTGTCATCTTGCACCCACCATCTATACAGCCAACCCTTCTGCTTTTATTTGTTTTTGTTGTTTTAGCTATTCCATGTCTAGAACCAATATCCAGAACTGCATATACCGGATTTTACAGATATGCTATGGAAATATGACAAATTATTGTAGGTCAACACAGCTTAATGAAGGAGAATGCGTGGCAATAAGAAACTTAAAAAATATTGTAGAGTTCTAATGTGCCAGGTACCTCAACAATTGAGTAGTAAGGTATGTACAAGCATGCTTAAAATACTTATGAAAGAGCAGAGGAATGAGTAACTCATCTGTAGTCAGAGGTTTTATGAAAGAAGTAACACTGCAAATCTTATAAGCCTTAAATGGTCAAAAATATTTCAGGGAAGAACAGAATGCATATACGAAGGGATAGAAAAAGACAAGACAGTATGTCCAAAGAGCTGTAGCAATTTGTTGTATCTGCAGTAGTATGCTTAGTGAATGGTGTCCAACAGGGAAGATACCAGAAAGACTGGTAGAGATCAGATCACAAAGGTCTCGTGTGTCATTCTAAGAAGTCTAGATGTTAACTGGTTTCACAGATGTAATACTAAAATAGTAAGTCACACCTGTTTCTTAATTAATATCTCAAACAAAATCATAGGACCAATATGGACTTCTTTCAAATTACCTTACCTTTCAACACTATTGAGATACGAGGATCCATCATGGCCGCCTACCGCATATAATAGGTCATCAAGAACACTGACTCCAACTCCACATCGCCTTTTACTCATGGAAGCTACCATTCGCCACTCATTGGTCTGTGGATCATACCGTTCAACACTGGAAATAGCATCTCCACTACACCAACCACCAACTAGGAAGGGACAGAGATGGTTAAGAGAATACCTGTCCTAAGGAAGACTGCTAACCTCATTGTGACCTAATGCTTATGTGACCAGGCACATGTAGAAACAGGTCAAGAACAAGTTATAGTCACCAAAAATCATCAACAGTCACTGGGCTATAACATTGATCTTGGATTCCAGTCTCCAGAACTGTAACAAAATGCCTTTCTTTTGTCTTAACTACTAAGTCCTCGGTATTTTGTTATGGCAGCCAGGGTAGACTAATACAGTGAGTGAGATTTAAAATAACTGCCAAGCCAAGTTCCATTATCCTTTTCTTAATGACCTTGGGGCAGGGGGTGCTGTGGTAATGGCAGATATGCTAAATTTGTTTTTCTTTCAAATCATCCCCATTTCAATATAATATGAGTGATTCTGAAGCTTAAAAAAATACAAGGTTATTTTATGCTCAAAACACTTTGGAACTACTAGTTTTTACATGGTGTGAAATAAACCCCCGAGATACATTAAAAGCACCAAAGTTCACTTTTTTCTTTTTTTTTTTTTGAAAGTTATGATTTACACTGTTAATCATAGAATAAAGTTCACTTTCTTTATTTCAAATCACAATGTGATAAAATTTTACTTTACTGTCATTTCATTTAAATCAGAAGAGTCACCTAGTACTGAGCCACAGCAAGTTTTGTATACAGTAATTTGCTGAAATGTGAATTGTGTAAATGGGCATATACAAGGAATTTCAATATCAGAGAAAACATCTTAAACGGCCCTAGGCTGGAAATGTGAGGGTCCATAATCTTTGAGATCAATCAAATAGCCTAATCATTAAATCTCTGGTACAACTACATGGTGGAAAGTTATTCAAGCCAGCTTTGTATTGGACTGTATGGTTTCACATCAAATAAATGGTACTTAATAAGTGGTATTCTTCAATATCAAAAGGCAAAAAATGGATCCTTCAGGAACAAAATTTAAATTTTGGCTGTTAACTTAGAGAAGTCCAAGACATAGTTTGTTAGTTCCACTGCCTCATGGTGACTTTGTGCACTATGACTCCCATGTCAACCATGGATGACATAATTAGATATTGGAGACTTAACTGTGGCTCCCCAAAAACCATACATTGAAGCCAAAGTCCCACTGTGACTGTTTGGAGGCTGCCTTTAAGGAGGTAACTCAAGTGAAATGAGGCCATAAAGGTGGGCCATTAAAGTAGGACCAATGAGAGGAAAAGAGGTCAGAGTTCTCTCATCCTGCCTCTGCATCCAGAGAAAAGGCCATGTGAGGCCATGAACATAGAGAAAGACACTCTGCATATGGAGGATGGAGGTCTCAGTGGCAGCCAATGCTGCTGCTACCTTGGTTTTGAATTCCAGACTACAGAACTATGAAAAGACAGGGTTTTTTTCTTTCTTTTTTTCAGTTTTTTTTGTTTTGTTTTTTGTTATTTTTGAGACAGTGTTTCTCACTTTGTAGACCAGGCTGGCCTTGAACTCACAGAGATCCACCTGCCTCTGCTTCCCGAATGCTGGGATTAAAGGCATGCACCACCAAACCCAGCTGAAAAGACAGATTTCTATTAAGCCATTTGCTGTGGTGTACTAAGTTGTAATTATTAAAAAGAAATACCAAACCTGGGAACTCTTAATTTCTGTTAAATAGCATGCACCTAAATAAATATATTCAGAAAAGGGGCCATATACTTTGTATATATGTAATGTTAATGTACAATTACTTTATATAGGTTTGTCCAACATGTATTACAACAAAGAAGTCTACACAAACTTTGCAGGCACCATTAAGCACAATGAAAACTAAGAGTAAAATCAAGAAATGAATGCAGTCTCGGTAGTGGAGCGAACCTTTAATCCCAGCATGTAGGAGACAAAGACAGGCAGATTTCTATTAGTTCAAAGCCAGCCTGGTCTACAAAGCAAGTTCTAGAACAGCTAAGGCTATTACACAGAGAAATGCTGTCTTGAAAATAATAATAATAATAATAAAAAATATCACTAAGAATAAACAGCTTTAATCTGAAATGTTCCAAACTGTAAAATTTCTGAATACTGACATGATTTTGAAGTATTGTTGGCTTCATATTTTTTCAGATCAGAGACAGCCAATCCTTAGAATCACCTAGAAGACACATCTCTGGGTGTGTCTATGAGGGTGTTCCCAGATATGTCCAGCTAAGGTGGGTGGTGATACAAGCAGCTAAGGAGGTGGTACCAGCCTGAATGTGGATGGTACCATTCCATGGATGAGGGTCAGGGATTGGATAAAAAGAAAAAAAGTGGGTAAAGTAAGTTAAGCATCAATATCCACTCTCTCTGCTTCCTGATTGCAGAGCCAGTATGACCAGTTGCTTCATGTTCCTGCTGCCACAGTTGAGAGGCACTCTTACCACCATGCCTTCCTCATCGGGATGGGTTATACCCCTAAACTATAAGCTCAAATAATCCTTTCTTCCCTTAAGTTTCTTCTCATCAGACACCTTGTTAGAGCAACATTTATAGTGACTGATATACTTGGATACAATAAAGTGGCCCCAAAAGGAAGGGTTCAAACATTTAGAGGCAACAGTAGCAGTAAAGTAATATATCAAATTGTCTGCAGCACAACCAATTTCAAAACAATCAGGAATGTCTTTAAAGTAAAATAATGTTTTTGGAAACTACATGTAATTATGAAGTGATCTGCATTTTGGTATATGGACTAATGCATGCAACAAGCATACATTGTATGATACTTTTAGATGGATTTTCAAGAGTACTCTTGAAGACTAGCACTGTTGACTTACTATGTGTATATTATGACAGCAGATATCATAACTAAATAATCTAAATGATTATTCAAAGTATATGAAACTGTTTGGTTTAATCACAGTATATTAAAGTTCAAGCTGTACTAGGTATGGCAGTATATAGATGGAAGTTACAATTCTAGCACTGGGAGGCTGAAGTGGGAGAACCATGGGTTTGAGACTATACTACACAGAAAGTTCCAGGACAGCTTGGGTTATACGGTGAGATTTTATCTTAAAGAAAACAAAAACCTAAACAAACAAAAAAGATCGACACCTGCAAAAAGCACTTCTCCACATCGAATAGGTTTCCGAGGTCTCGTCCTTGGTCCTTGCATTAGTGGTCGTTCTTGAGGCAATAGGAGGTAGTTTTTAGCCTCATCTACCAAGTCTCTGTAGAAAAGAAACTTTTCATTTATTCCAAATGGTTAAATAATGTTACAAGTTAAGTCTCTATATGGTGTAAGAAATCATGTTGACAAAAGAGAACAAGCACAAGTTAAACCAAATCCTTGTTGCCAGTCAATACAAAAATTGGCACAAACATGAAACCATGATGAAAGTCACACTAGGAATTCTGAGTTGATTGGCATTTCTACTATAACTTCATACTTGAGGCAAATTCTAACCTAAACCTCGACAATCACAGAGTAGACAATATCTTACATGACCTGCCCTTCATAAAAAAAAAAAAAAAGTCAAACTCAATAGTCAGTATTTTCTAATACATTTTATTAGGTTCTACAAGCAATTGGGGAAGGACCACATGAGTAAGAGCAGTAGGTATCTGCTAAATTAAGACAGTAATAAAACTGGGCCAAAAAGTACTTTGGGACATTAATACTAAGGTACTAGCTAGTATCATATGAATGGTTTAATACAACTAGTTTACTGACATGAACAAAAAGTTTCCCAATGTTCCTTCAAGAGCATAGCCTAGAGATTATATATATATATACCAATATTCTGTACATAATTTTTTTAGGTGATTCAGTGATTGATTTATGTGAACTCTACTATACTGTTATACTTCAACTCCAAATGTGCTCTTAACTACTATGTGTTTTAATTTCTCAGTTTTTACACTACACTAAACAATTCATACATGATTGTTGCCATGCATAACCCAAAAATGCATTTTTCTCTTCTTAATTTATTTATCCTAGTAACAAAATTAACAGAAAACAAAAATTAAAGGGAAGTCAAACCAAACATTAAGAATTTTTTCTAGTTCCCCAAACTTAAAGACTGATTCTATTCTAGTCAAAGGTTCTAGACAGACTACAGCACAGATAACACTGAGCATCCAACACCGAATTAACAGCAACAATTTGGTGACCTTCTAGTTTCTGTTTTAAACTTTTAATATATGCACTCAGGTAATTAATAGACTTATGGAAAGGAACTGATTCTCTCATTCTATATAGATTAAGGAGCTATAGCACAGAGTAAGTGCTGTCTAGTGCTGATGGCCAGCAGCCAACTTTCAAAAGTGACTACACAAGTATTTTACTTTTCCTATCAGGATCAATATAATCTGATTTAAGCTTACTTGAGGGAGGGATAGCCCTGAACTGTTTCTTCATATTTCATCCTGTGTAACTTACATATTTCCCTTCTGTTATTCCCATAACTAGGGAAATTGACTGCTAGTGATCTATTCTGCTCTACTTTTACAAACTTTAAAGTTTTCTTTTTAACATTTATTTATGTGTATGCGATGCGAGTATCACAGCATGAGTGTGCAGGAGTCAGTTCTGTTCTTCTACCATATGGGTTTTTGGATTGAACACAAATTTTCAGGCACTGTAGTAAGCTACTTTACCCCTGAGCTATCTCATCAGTACTCCCTACCCCAAACATGCACTCTTTCAAATTTAAAAGACAAACATTTAATCTCAACTGTTGCATTTCTCATTAATGACAAGCCTGAGGTCACAGAAGAAATGCAATGGATTGTATGTCCCACTTATGTACTAGAATCTGGGATAATTTCTTTATTGGCAAGAGAAGGCACAATAGACAGTGTAATTTGAGTAGTTATGAGTACTGGCTGATTCTCTTACTTATATTTGGAATCTACTAGTGAGGGGGCATTGCTAAAATGCCAAAAGGTTTCAATGTGAAAATAAAACTTAAAATCTGCCAAACAGAGAGATCAATTAAATAAAGCATGTATCTATTACAGAGATAGCTCAGTAAATCAGCAAGGTCTTCATTCTTAAGACTATTTGGAAATGACTTCACTGAGCTCTATCAATGACCTTCCCAAAACTACCATGGGAGGGGCAGGGCTTTTTAACTCTGTCTATAAGGTAGTTCACAACTGTCTGCAACTCCAGTTCCAGGGGCCTCAATTCACACTGACAGACATACACGCAGGGAAAATACCAAGCACATAAAATAAAAATAAATAATTATTTAATAAAAAAACAACAAAAACTCCTAGGGGAACAGAATACTGGAAATTCAGTTCTCCTTTCCTTCTCCCTTTAACCCTACCCCAGAATAAAAACTTGTTAAATACTGTCCTGGTTTTGGCATAAGACATACAATATTTCAGGAGCAATATCAGTAAGGAGAGTAACAGAAATCAGGACTGAGCAGTTGTTGAAATTTCTCATCCACTCATACCTGCATTCTTCATCACTTTTAATGAGGGGATCAGAGCCTACGGTGCCCACCAGGAACTTGGGACTAAGCAAAGGTAGGCGAACATGTTGCAGCACCTATGAGATAATAAACACAATTAAGGCATGAGCACCCATTACAATTTCTTGGGAGGGTAATGACTCATGCTTACTGACTGTGTAGTCAAGAGTTTTTGGATCTAATTGGACATAATAAGTACAGAAGGGTGAACATGATAAAGAGTAGATGTAAAATTTATTCTATCAATTTAGTGATGTAGACTAGTTACAAAACTAAAAACATGCTAGCATCACTTTAAAATGTTACTGTTAGCTTTCAACAATAAGTTATAAACTCTCAGAACATACTTTCCAGGGCTGAAGAGATGGCTCATCTTACAGAGGACTTGGTCATAATGCCCAGCACCCACACAGCAGCTCACAACTGTCTGTAACTCTAATCCCAAGGAATCCAAAGCCCTATTCTGACCTTTGTGGGCACCAGGCACACACATGGTGTAAATATATACATGAAGGCAAAAAACTCATACATGAAAGTAATAAATAAATAAATCTTTAAAAATGCATTTTCCCCCATATCTTCAATTTTGCTTTCTGCATTTTCAGTTATTGCTTGTCAACTTTGGTCAGATAATAATAAATGAAAAATTCCAAAAATAAAAATTCTGTAAGTTACTTTTATTATAGTATACTATTATAAATATTCTATTTATAGTTACTCTTAATCTTCATTGAACCTAATTTATAAGTAAAACATTATCATAGACTATGTATGTATGTATGTATGTATGTGGTTTGAAGGTTTTAGGTGTCCTTGGAATGTATCTCCTCTGAATAAGGATGAGACTATAGTCGCGACAAGAATGAATCTTAAATATGTGACCGCTCAGTTCCAATTCAATCACTTACTGTTCAAAGTGTGGTAGAACTTCCAAGCTATGGAGCAGATACTTTCTTGTGTTCTTTTGTAATTTTACATAATTTCTGAGTTGTGTAACAGTTCAAACAGAATGAATCCCAAACAGATAGGAGCAATAAGTCCACAACAATAAACACCCAAATATTTCTAAAGGCTTATTGCCTAGACCATATGGAAACAAGGACTGTTTTTTTTTTTGTTTTTGTTTTTTTGTTTTGTTTTGTTTCTGCAAGACAAGTACATAATTGTCATCTAGTACAAAGCAATTTCTCAGAGAAGCATTTTGGCTCTTACCTGGGGTAACTGAGGACGTCTTTCCTGAATACTGTATTTGACCCAGGCCATCACTGCATTGAACACTTGTTCTTCACTCCGAACATTGAGCTCATCACTAGATATTATGTCAATCAGTTGGTTGGCTGGAAGCAACATAAATTCTTCACTCTCCATTACCTGCTCAGATTTAGGTAGGAAAAAAGGAACCTATAAGCACATTTTTTTGCCTTTATCTATTTTTTTTGTTACAAGGCAAAATTATATTCTACAATGGAGTTAATGTTTAAGACAAGGAGGAAAATAAAAGTTTCAAAAAGAGAAAGAGAATAGAAAACACACATAAAGTTATAAAAGCTAATTGTTATTTATTTTATAAGTTTTCCCTTAAAAATTAATGAATAAAATAAAATTTCATATTCAAAATAAATAAAATACATAATCATATTAAATTAAAGCTTCATAATGATAGGAGACATATAAAATGCCAGGAAAAGCTTTCATAGGAAGATTAGATGCTAAAAGGGCAGAAACATTATGGACGCAGTTTACAAAAAATATAAAGATACCATCTGTTCCGCAAGCATGAATATAATGAAGAAAGAATTAGATCGAGGGAAACTTCACTATGAGATAATATTCTAGTGAGAATTATACACACACCCAGGCTGACTTTTACCCAAGTCTACAGAACTGTCAAAATAGAACTAATATGGCAATAATGACATTACTTTGTTCAGGCCAGCCATAAATTTTAAGATCTTGTGAGTCATGATGTAACAGACTGGGTGAAATGCAGGAAAGGGAAACAGCTATTGCTACCCTCTAGGTGGTTTCTCTATTATGCTACATGTGATATCTGGTAGTGTAGGCAAGGTTATCATTTAACTCTGTGTTGTTTTTAATGAGCCCAATGGATTATTTTTGGGACACAGCTATTTTCTTTTCATCAAAAAGTTAGAACATTTAGCAGGACATGATAGGGCTTAGTAATGTTTTAAACATTTGATCAAGAATGTTTCTTTTAAAAAACAGAGGAAATACAAATCACAAAATTAAGTGGTTAGGAGCTGTAGTCATTTATTTCCTTTTATGACACAAGGATTCAAATTATATTCAACAGTTAAACTTTACACTTCACCTGAGTAACTACTAGCCAGATAAGTAATAATGAGTATGGTCGCACTTTACTTTCTGCGAAAAGCTGCCAGATTTAGGGGGACCCCCCCCCAATAAACCAAGATCTATCTATACCACAAATAATGTGCTGCTGTTCTGGAATTTATATTTAACTTGGAGCACTGCATTTTACAGGTAACTCTAATTTGGGTGCTGTTGGTTTTTTAATGTCCAGAAGTAATATCTGGACCTAGTTCTAATAAGAGTTCTGGCCTTTGTGTCCTGCTGTGGCTATCTTTGACTGTCTACTTATGTATTTCCCAGTTCATTTATTTAAGTACAACTTTGGTATTATCTTTAAGAAGGCTTTAACATTCTTTAAAATTTCATCAGAAGATGAACATTTTTCTATTATATGGATTAAAAACCAAATGTTAGCAGACTGGGGAATGTAGCCCAGTGGTAAAGGTCTTGCTTAGCATGTGCAAGGGCCTAGGTTCTATCCCCAGCACTATAGTCACAAGGCCTGTACTGAGATTTTTTTCCTTGCCATAGTCAGAATGGCTGTAATGAAGAAAACAGGCAAAATTAAATGCTGAAAAAGTGAGGGTAAGAAAGACCTCTTATGCATGGCCACTAAGAACATACATTAATTTGGCTGCTATGGAAACCAGTATACAATTTCTCAGAAACTAAAGGGAGAATGATCCTGTGGCATGACTTAGATACATAATCAAAGGAGTCTGAGTTAGCATACAATAGATACCTACACTCTCATCTTCACTGTAGCACTGCTAATAACAGCCAAGTTAGGGAGTCAGTCTAGGGGTTCATCAATGGACGAGTGAAGAGAATGTGGCATACACGTGGAAGAGTTTTCCATTATAGAGTATAAAATTAGCTGCCCATCTTGGCTCAGGCCAGCACTTGGAAGGCTGAAGATGAAGGATTTCTGTCAGTTCAAGGCCAACTTGGGCTCCTTAACACTGCTAATCTGATTGTTTCCTAGTACCAAAATGTTGTACCTATTTAAAGCCAATGACTTTAATACTAATTTTTAGAAACGTCCTGTCATACAATATACCCAGAGGTAGGAAGTATATGCAATATATGTAAGCTTTCTTTTGAAAAAGATTATTCATTTTATTGTTTTTATGTGTGTGTTTTACCTGCCTGCATGTGTGTACCCTGTGCATGCCTGGTGCCCATGGAGGTCAGAGGATGTCAGCTCTCTGGGACTGGAGTTATAGACAGTTGTGAGCTGCCATGTGGGTGCTGGGAATTGTTCCCAGGTCTTCTACTAGACCAGTAAGTGCTCTTAAGTGCTGAGCCAATGCTCCAACTCTATGAAAGTCCTCTTAAAAGAAACTCTTTGCACTTCTGATCCTATGTTTCTGGTTTTCTTTTCTCCTTTTCTATTACCCCATGTCCTTTGCCAATTGCTCCTTTACTAGCCACTCTTGAGTACTGGGAAGGCAGTGAGGCACTCCTTTATCTCCAGAGAGGCTCTCATTGGCATTATGTGACCCCATATATGGAACTGTTTTAAAAACAAAAAAGTTTCACATATTTAGGCAGCCAAATCAACCAATTTCTTCATTTATGGCTTCTAGGTTATATCTCACTTAAAAGGGACTTGAATCAAAATTTAATCTCAGCCTAACCTCTCAAGGAATAGATCCATAGAAAGAGTTACCTGGTCAATATCAATCAGAACTTCAATCCACTTCTTCAAACTCTTCTGCTCTCTAGTGTATAAATAAATTTCCAAGAACACTGAGTTCAAAGGTGGGTGTAAAGGGAAATCTTTATAGATAAGGCCAAGTTTCCTTTTCAGAGGATTGTGCTAAAGCATATTCACACCAGCAATGTAACTATGTTCCCATAGCTTCACCAAGAAGGTATAGTACATTTAAAGAAAATTGTAACCCAAAAGATGGTGCTTTGACCAGATATGGTAGGTGTTTCTACAAATGCTAAGGATGGATGATGTTGAGTTCAAGGCCTGAGCTGAAAAGTAAGACAAAAGCTCAAAAAAACAAAGCTGGAGGGAAGAAGCCCTTTGGTGAGCTTTAATTTGTCTTTCTGTATTTCAGATATTTAAGGACAGTCTGAATTTCTCTCTTTGTGTATATTATTTATTATTCTGTTAGCTCGCTGGTGTGAATTATTGGTGCTCTTGATGTATTAAGTAAAGTAGATTAGCTTTTTGATAGTGAATACAGATTGCAAATATTTCCCTCAATTTGTATTTGGCTTTTGTTTTAGAATAAAAAGCAATTCTGTATATGATAAAATTGATAGATTCTAACTTTTAGACATTCTAGTCTAGTACCTTAGATGTGCTTCTTCATTTAAGGTCATAAAGGGATTGTTTCATATAATTTCACATTGAATAAGTGAAAAAATAGTGAGTTTAATGAAAATTCTTTTGGTACCATCTAAATTTGTCTTTTAAAAAAATTATTAATTTACCAAGTAGTTGGTGTATAACTTTTCATGTTGAATAAGCCATATAATTGGGAGGGAAATGCTATAGGAAATCACTTCTCTGACACACATGCATAAATAAACCATGTTTTGGCTTATTAGTCAGCCCTTTATTAAAATGATTAGGGAGAAACAACTTTTGCTGGCAGAATATAAAATTGGCCTTTAAAAATCACTGACAGGCTTAGAATTTATAGCAACCTATTTATTTGATATTGTAAGCTAGAACCAGAATATAAGACAGGTGTTAGGAGAATATAAATCCATACTGCTCTCTTAAAAAAATCACCTATTATAATTATGTATGTGTGTGTGTACACGTGCGCGTGCATGCACGTGTACCATGACACAATTGTGGAGGTCAGAGGACAACATTCTTTTCTTCCACCATAGGTTCTGGGGATAGAACGCAGGTTTACCAACTGAACTATTGTGGTGTTTTGAAAAAAAAAAAAAAGGCCTCCAAATGGAGTGGCACTATTAGGACATGTGGTCTTCTTGGAGGAAATGTGTCACTGTGAGGGCCAGCTTTGAGTTCTCTTTTGCTCAAGCTTCCCTAAGTGTGATTTTGACTAGATTTCCCGTTGCTTGAAAGATGTATTGCTCTTTTAATAAACAGGTTATGAATACATTCAAATCACTTAGTACAACTCGTGTGTGTGTCTTTATGTTCATGTAAAGGCCAAAGGTCAATGTTGGTTCTCTTCCTCTATCATTCTTGACTTTATTTATTTATTTATTTATTTATTTATTTATTTATTTTGAGACAGATGGGGTTTGTCATTGAACCTGGAGCTGTTTCAGGAAGATTGTTTGGTTAGCAAGCCCTAGGATCTTTCTGTTTTTGTGCATCCAAAGGAGATTACAGATGCTTACAAACAAACCAGGCTCCTATATTGATTGTCAGGAGCTCAACTCAGGACTCTGTATTTGCATGACAAACATTTTACCCAGGGAGCTATCTCCCTAGAGCACAACTCACCTCTTGAAAGTTATGTTGAGTGAACTTGTCTGCAATCCTTAGTAATTCACGGCAAGAATGTGTGTCAGCAAAAGCCCGAATGCCCAAGCAATTTGAAGGGTCTAACTGTCTCTTTAAGAATTCACAACAGGCTTCCTGTATTTCTGCCAGCTGGAGGAGGCAAGCAGCAGGCAAGAGAGTCTGAACATTGCCTTCTTCCACAGTTATCTGGGAGGTATATGCGAAGTCAATCAGTAGTTCCATAGCCCTCTCATCTATGTCTCGGATCACTACTTCTGTCTGGCGGCTTTCTGCCAATTCTCCTGTAAACATTGCTCGGAAGTAGGGACTGCAGGCTGACAAGATGACTCGATGGGCATATATCTTCTTAGCGCCCACAACTAGCACCACATCACATAGCTCTCGGTGCTTTCTCAGAAGGTTGATCACTTCCAAGGTCTGCCGAGGATGCTTGTCTGAGATATAGGGCATGCGAGCAGGTTGGGGAACCCCTTCGGGCAGTTTGTTGGGGTCTCCAAGGGTGCAGCGGCTTGTTACATCCATTCCAGTCTCTCCTGGTCGAATGTTGGTACACCTACAGGAATGAGTGATTGGAGAAAGATGGAAATATTACTAGTTCTCTTCTTGTTCTAAAGTGTTCATAAGTGGTAAGACAACTTGAAAATACCCAGAGAAAGAACCCTAGAACATAGAACTCATACATTATCAGACTACTTTTTTTTTTTTTTTTTTTTTGAGACAGGGTTTCTCTGTGTATTTGAAGGCTATCCTGGAACCAGCTCTTGTAGACCAGGCTGGTTTCGAACTCAGAGAGATCCGCCTGCTTCTGCCTCTGGAGTGCTGGGATTAAAGATGTGTGCCACTACTGCCCAGCATTCGTGTCAGACTACTTTTATTATATAATTTCATGAAAAAGATATTTTTTCCAGAAGTAGCAGACTGTCTTTGGCCACATTTCTTTCATTAATAAAATTTATGAAAAACTGACAGGGAGAGGGAGAATCAGCGAAAACTAAGTATGTATGAGAATACCTAAGAAAATCTGCTATTTTGCAGATTAATTAAGAACTAAAATTTTCATAGCCTTTTTCTGTTTCCCTCTACTTTGGGATCTGTGGACACAAAGGACTCTGTGCTCGGAGGCTACAGGTGCCTTGTGGGCTGATACATGGAGATGAAAATTTGCATATAGAATGCTAGGAATTTTGGCTCCATGTCCAAGTTAGAGGAATACCTTATGTGGATGAGATGCTGCCTGAGTTTCGAGTTGTATCTGGTCAGCCATCTGTGAGCAGAGTCTTGCCTGACTTTGAGTTCACTGACCCTCTTTCCTGTTGTGGCACCAGGATACAATTTCTTCCAGGAGGCACTTGAACTGAAAGTTCACTCTCATAGGAACCCATGGTTTTAAATAGCAGAGCTTATTCCCCAATATCATGTTTTGCTTGAAGAAATTGTAGATTTAATTTTACAGTAAATGATAGAAGTTCATATGGAAAAACACCCCATGGACCATTGGCAATAAAAACTCAGTATCAAATCAAGTGTTAAATTTTGGGGCCCAACCAGGATGTTATCTGAGAACATTGTTCCTGTGTTGGATTATCTAAATTTTCTTCTTTGGTCCTAAGTGGAGGAATGCAGCTATAAATTTGGATGATTAAGGCTGCCTTAACAACCTTGTACCAAGTACATGAAGATGACACCATTATCTTCTACAGGTTTTTGTTGTTTATTGTTTTTTGAGATAGTGTTTCTCTGTGTAACAGCTTTGGCTGTCCTAGAACTTGCTTTGTAGATCAAGTTGGCCTCAAACTCACAGAGATCCTGAGTGTTAGAATTAAAGGCCTGTGCCACCACTACCTGGTAGTCTTTTCAGTTTTTTAATGTGTGTTTTTTGTTTGTTTGTTTATTTGTTTTTCAAGACAAGTTTTCTCTCTGCATAGTCCTGGCTGTCCTGTAGACCAGGCTGGCCTTAGACTCAAAGAGATCTGTCTGATGCTACCTCCTAAGTGCTAGGATGAAAGGGATGTGGCATCACCAGCTTACTTCTCCTGTTTTAAAGTGAGTTTGCTCTTTGTATATGTTTACTAACTCTGTATGTTTAAAAAGGAGTTATCTCAAAGTTACAAAATTGTAACAGGCAATATTAAAAAAGTAAAGATTTGAATATAAGAAATAAAAAACTTAAACATTCATAAAAAGCATTTAAAATTCATCTCTTGAAAAAAATCTCATCCCTCCCAAGAAGACAAATCAGACCTATAAAACTGTTTAAAAACTTAAATCACATTTATTTTCTTTTAAATTTTTACACTTATTTGTTCAGTGTGTGTGTATATGTGCACGCACACATGGCATGGCACATGTGTGAAGGAAAGAGAACAACATGTGGGAAATGGCTCTCTTTTACCATGTGGGTTCTGGGAATCAAATGCTGATCATCAGTCTTGGCAGCAAGTGCCTTTATGCACTCAGCCATTTTGCTGGACCCAAATTTTAATTCTTTTTAAAAATATTAATTAAATACTTGTCTTTTTTTGAGAGAGAGTATACATAGAGCTGGTTGGCCTCTAACTCAGATATCTACCTGCCTCTACCATTGAGTACTGTGTTTAAAGGCATGTGTCACTTGCCTGACCCTAAATTCTTAAACTTAGTTTGATTCAAATCTTGCTATTTGTTACTTTCCTAAAGTAGCTGGCATTTACTTCTCTTTTTCATTTGGGTACTACTTTACTATTTTGAGTTATAGTTTAGCACAGAGTCTGTAACACAGAGTTTATGTGACATAAAAAGTCAGGAAGAAAAGAAGATAGTCACCCCCCACTCCAAATTAAATTTATATTTAATACTCTATTTGTTTCATCCTAACTTCCAAAGGATGAGCTATTACTCCAAATGACATGTAATTCATCTTAAGAAGTCTTACCAGTCAGGCATGACGATGCATTCCTGTAATCCTATTCCTAGTACCTAAGAGGCTGAGTTAAGCCGATCAAGGAGTCTTGGCTACATAGTAAATTCTTGTCTCAAAAAAAAAAAAACAAAAACAAAAACCCAAAACCCAGTTTTATTTAATCTAATGGTTCTAAAGTACTTTTAAAAAGTCAGCACATACCCACCCACACAACACACCCAAAATCACAAAATCAAAAGTAATATTATATAAAGAATAGTATGTCAGCTTGAAGCTGGGCAACTGCTGAGAGCCAAACATAGTCAGAGGATTCTGCAATCTCTAATGACTAATAATGAAGAATTACATAAGTGCTAGGTTTTCACCAGTAAGAAAAGCTTTGTGTAACTTTAGCATAGTATTTACATTTCCAAAGTTATTAAACCAACATGTCTTATAAACAGGGCAGTTGGTAAATAAATTATTGTAGATTGTTCATCAAAAGTAAAAGAATAAAATGGACTATTTGCTGACACATTTACAGGTAAAAATGAACAGTGTGAAGTAATAAAACTTCTTTTCTTGCATAATTCTGGATTTATTTTCTCTCATCATCAAATCTAATACTATAATACTAATGCTATTTTTTTAAATTTTATTTAATTTTATATAACAGTCCAATTAAATGAAAACAAACATTTATACACAATATTTGGGAATTTGGGCGTCATTCTTTCCAAACTACTTCCTGCTGGTAAGGGGCGCTGTCATGGGGGATTCGAAGAAGATTCAGATATCCTGGCTGTAGTCTGTAGGGCTGTTTTGTCCAGCTGTTTTGAATGTAGGATCACCTTGTACTCTGTTTCAGGCGGTCTGGCGTGATCAAACCACATTAGTCTGGAAGGAATCCACATCTTTTCATTTTCTAATACTAATGCTATTTTGATATAAATTTTGTATTTATCCAAACTTTTTAGCTATAATTAATTATTTAAATTATTTTGGTCTGTTCTGACTTATTGAAACTTGGTTTCTGTATCCTAGACTGATGTGAACTCACTCTATAGCTTAGGCTGTCTTAGAACTCACAAAATAGTCCAAGCTGGCCTTGAATTCATAGTAATCCTCCTGCTCCAACCTCCCAAGTACAGGGATTACAGACACGAGGCACCGTACCTGGCTTCTAGTTTCTTTAACCCTAAACTGGTATCCACTGCACAAAGATAGATAAGATGATGCACAGGAAAGCTTTCCAACTAGTGCTTGTTACATACTTGCAGTTTAAAATCAGAAATGTTATTGTAATAAAACCATCTAAATTTCTTTTAAAGTGATTATACTTATTCCATGTTAAAAATTAAATTTCTCACTGGGTGTGGTGATGCCTTTAATCCCAGCACTTATGGGCAGACAGGAAGATCCCTGTGCGTTCTTGAGCAGTTGAGGTGGGATTATTATGGGTAGATTACAGAATGAGACCTGTAGTGAGATATTCACTCTGCTCACACCTGTTGCACTGACTATGACCACTGAGGATGGGGAAAGGTGTGGACGTGAACTGGGAGAACAAGGTCTGGGGTCAGGGACCTGGAGCTTTCTCTTGCTTCCCGGTAGGAGAAAGTTTATTACATCCATTTAGCCTGTTTTCCCCAATCCTTATTTTTTCATGATGAAGTGGGATATGAACCCATGTTGTCTCAACAAACAAACAAAGGCTGGCAAGATGGCTCAGCAGGTTAATGAGTTTGCTGCCAAGCCTGATGACCTCAGTTCAATCCTGGGCACCTATATGGTACAAGGAGAGAACCAACTCTTGCAAGCTGTCTTCATTTGTGTTCTATGACAAGCATATTCGTAATATACAGATGGAAAAAAATTAAAAGTAGTATGCCTAATATTTAAATTTATTCTGAATTAAGAATTCTGCAAGTCCTTTGCCAGTTTAACAGTATCAGATATGGGTTCCATCTCATGGAGTGGGCCTTATATCCAATAAAAAGTAGTTGGTTACTCCCCAGAACATTTGTGCTGCTATTGTACTAGTATATCTTGAAGGCAGGTCATTGTAGGTCACAGGGTTTATAGCTGATAATACTGATGATTACTTTTCTTCTCTGGTAGCATAAAAGTACCTTCCAGCACCATGCACTCTAGTCAATAGGGGTAAAGTTTCCAGTAGGGCATTAGCTCAATTTCTCCATGCTGAATGATATAAGTAACCTATCTCCAGCAATAGGAGGGCTTGACCAGGTGATATATAGTAACCAATAGCCTTGGCAATAACTTGCAATGTTTGAGTGGTGGTGGTGGGGTCTATGAGATGTAATCCATCCTGCATTGGAAGTTTTACTTGATGGCATAAGATGTCTAGTTGGGGCACTGTCTCCTACATTATATGGTGATTCCATTTCAATTCCTTTCATATGTGTATATATTTTAGGACGCTTCTATATATTTAGTAGGCTTCCATATGACTTTTCAAAAGGCCTTTAACATGAGTTGTCTCTCCTCATATCCCTAGTTTATCCTGCTCTCTCATCCTTCTCCCCATTTTATCTTTCTATTCCACTTTCCCTTTGGATTAAACAGATCACTGGCTCTAGGGAAAAACCTACTACTATTATTCTGCTAAAGGAACAAGCAATAAAATGACTCCCAATGACATACTGCTAAAC